AGCATCCCAGCCTGTTGCTGTTTTCAAAATAGGAGGGGAAAAAGGGAGCAGCAGGAGTTCAGTCTGGGAGGGGTTTTAGCCCCCCACTGGAGGGTGGGGTGAGTGCATTGCCCTGCCCCCCCTACCGAGACTAGGGTCTTCAGTTCACCCACCCTACCCTCCAGCTCTGGCTGTGCAATGCCTACAAGGGGTTACCTCTGCTCCTTTTCCCCTGTCTCATTCTGAAAACTTTGCAGCTTTACAGGGAGGAGGGGCCATTGCTGAGGAAAACTGGCTGCAGTCCACTTCCAGGTCTGCTGGGAGCTTGTGGGGGGCCCCCCATACCACTTTGGCTTGGCAACTGGCTGCAGGGGGACCCCCAGTACCCCCCCAGACCCAGGAAGCACAAATTGCTCAGATGGGGGGAAGGGCGCAGGGGGGCCCCCAGCGCGCTCTCTGGTGGACCCGGAAGTGGACTGGAAGTGCTTCTCGTCCACTTCTGGGTCTGCTGATGAGCATGCTGGAGAGCCCCCCGCACTCCTGTGGGACGCTCCATCTGCCCCAGCATCGCAGCGTTCACCAGCCACCTGCTACCCAGAGGTAGGTAGAAAAAAAAACATTTAAAGCTGTGTCTACGTCCAAATCACCCAATTGATTCAGAGGTTCGGATTCGATTCAGAGATATTAAAGGGTCTTCTGATTTGATCTGGATTTGGAAATGTGGCCACCGAATCAGGACGAATCTCTGCCTAATCAAATCAGGGACTGAAGCTTCGCACAGCCCTACTATCTCTCTCCTACTGCAGGGATGGAGCTAATAGACAACTATGCCAAAACTCTTCCTTGGTGCTGCTGTACAGGTAGAACAGAGTTCTGAAGAGTTTTACAGAGCTTGCTACTGTGCTCATTTAGTTCACATTTGGTTGTGTGAAGGAGTTGCCCCTTCAAAAGAGTCCCTATAAATACTGGCTACCTCTGTGGTCTATACCCAAATGACAATTCTGCTGTAAAAATATTCAGCTTAAGAACATGTTCTTTCACAAGTTTCACCTGAAAAAATGAATCTAGGTTCTTTCTTTTTTGAACATCACCACAGGTCATGCAAATTCTGCCTTGTTAACTGTATAACCTCATTGTTGGTAAATTATTCCTTAAAACACCATGCCTAAAATGATCTTAAGCCCCCCTGCCCCACAATTTAATGCTTTACAAATGCTTTCTATATGATACAGGAGAAGAGATGGAATTAAAATCACATTTTATTCTACAATATGAGCAAGAGTTAAAAATCAGATTTGTGCCTTTAAATCAAGTAAGCAGGGCTGTGAATACACACATATGTTAGACCACTTGAATAAGAACCTGCTATTTTTTGTAATCATAGTTCTTAAGATAGCTATGAAAACAAGGCAACTTGAACTGCTAACTGGAGTTAACCCCCCATTGCCTTTTCACTGCTATTTTTATATTACAATTCATATCATAATTTTCTACAGTGTAGAAATACTCTCTACATCTTGAGTTGTGATTATTTTGTATTGCAATAATAGAGGCAGACTGTGCTAGGTACTGTACAAACATGTAAAATCTGTAATCTAATAAGAATAGTATACAATTTTTATATATAAGAAACAAACAAAACCAGCTATGAAAAAGGATAGCGCTTACATGCAAGGTGAACAACTGTCTCATGAATTCCAGTAGTGGAATTTCATTAGGATGCAATTTTTTGTGGCCATTAATAGGACCAAAGCAGGAAAAGTAGATATCTAAGGAGTGATGTGTGATTAACAGGTTAATCACACTTCAAGTGTACCTTGTTGAGGTGGCCTAAAACAGAGAGAGGCAAGAACAAGCATCTAGGAACAAAGCACAGAAGTGAGTTCGGTTTCAAAGATTCCAAGGACATCAGTAGGCTGGTAGGAATGCGAAAGCCCTGCTGGTGCCAGTAATGCTGTTTCTAGAAAGCATTTTAGAGACACAGGGCTTTAAAGCTGCCCCCTGAGTCTCTTTTGCATCCTTTACATGGATCATGGGCTGGGAGAAGGGAGACTGCCAGAATCTAGTGCCCTTGAGTATGATCAATTTCTCCATGTTGTCTCCTTTTTACTTTATTAGTAAGGAATTTAACTTTTGTCACACACATCTTTTTTTTTTCTACATTACTCTCACACTTCGCTTAAACTATCTTGTTGCTTCATGTTTGGTTTTGTTACATCTGTCCATAGGTAGATCTTTCTGCTTTACCTCTGTGTTATTTTAACCTCATTGTTTTTCAAATTCCCTCTAAAGAAGTGATGGAGATGAAAGTGTTAGTATCAAATACTAATTTTCAGCAGAGATGGTCCAGATAGCAGACTCTCTTTTCTGTCAGTAGTAATGAGAGTCAGCTTGAGGCAAAGATTTGAACACTGGCCTCATTCAAAGACCTAGATAGAACTGAAATAGAACTGAATCCAATATAATGCTACTCAATATGGCCTGGTTGTCAAAACAAGTGTTTCACAGGTGAAGGAGTTGGGATTTATTCCTAGCGGTGCCACTGACTTCCTATGTGGCCTTTGAGAAGTCAGGTAAAGTGTCTGTGCCTCAATTCCCTCCCCAAAACAAGTGTGATTTAAGGATGTGTTATCCCCATTAAACAACTGAAAGAACAATGCCTGCAAAACATCTTGAAGGTAGACAAAATATTTGTATTGTCTTTTACTATAACCTGAAGAAAAAACAGGTGGAATTTCCAAACATTTTGTTAAACAGCTTCCATGCGACTCCCCTTGCCAGCATATCAGAAGGTGTTCTTCATTTTAAAACAGAAGGAGCATCTGTTCTTTCTTTTTTAAAAGATAATAATTGAAACATAAGTGCATTTGCTATACGAGGTGTCTTTAGAGAGATACAGCCATGATGCCATGAAAGCATTTTTTAATATTGCTGTATCTATGCAAGAGACAAGTGAAACAGAACCAACACGTCAAATACTTTATATAAACTTTATATAGTTAGCCGTTGTGAAAAAATGAAGGTTCAATGGAGCATGAATTGAAAGTATATTGCTGCTGTTTGCCTGTGACAAGACAAAAAGACACAGCAGCTGTCAGGAATGTTTACTCTATATGCCAGGAAACTTTTCTATGTTGAATATTAGGTTGTTTTCTTTTGATTAATTTTTTTATGAATGTTTTGACTCATGTATATTAATAAATACTAATTAAGTTGGAATGCCATTGATTATTTATGAAAGAAGGTTCAGTGGAGATAGCTACAAAACAAACTCACTTTTTCCTATCAAATCCTCCTACCACTGGTCATGACAGGCTACTCTCTCTGGGGAGAAGCAGCACAAGACTGAGTAAATACAGATGAGTGCAATACAAGCTGAAAAAAATGGGCCAGACTGGCAAAATATCATACTTGTCAGTTCCTTGAAATAACTTCCAAACCAGCTTCTTTCCCAAAGTACAATGTTCACATGGTGGTTACTTGTATCAGAAACATGGCCTGAAAAAACTAAAATTTCCAGGAAGGTCACATGAATAGATAAATATTATGTTTAGTACATTCACCAAAGTCATGAATCAGTTGTGTGTGTGTGGGCATTTATAAGTTAAATTGGAAGAAAGAAAATTCACTGAGAAGAGGCGATGAATAGGCAAAAAGGTGAACTTTTTTGGTGAAGAAAATTTCTACAGAGATGTGTCTAAATATTTAATATAAGGCATATGGCTATTAATCATATATCTAATACATTGATACATCGATATTTGATGCCTGATGAAGTTATTTGAATGACATTTACTATAGTGCTGGCTGAAAAACAGCAAAACGTAACCACACTTCTAAAAAACTGTCTAGAGATGAAACAGCTGGTTGAGAAAGCCATTTTAAAACAGTTAGATTTCCACTGATTATACAGGGGTTTCCATTCTGCTATGACATATTTTTGTATTAATGGTTTGCGTGTTACTTTTTGGTGGCATAGAAAAGAAACATGCTTCACAGAACAGCTTTTATTTTGGGTCCTTCACAGTATTGCAGAGTTTGGGCAGCTTACCAACTCTTCACTTTTGGCTCCCAACTGCATGGGCATTAAGAGTGGAGTGAGCTGAGACAACTGAATTCAATTCACTTCAGACACATTAGATTGTCTGACTAGATGCAATCACTGTTAATATCCCTGAGTTGTTCTTGATAAGGTATTTAATTTTTCAAAGACATCTTGTCTCAACTGTTCTGTCCTTTTTCAAACAACTCAATCATCAGTTTCTCTTGCCCATCACCCCATGAAAGATCAGTCTTTTTTTCTATTAATCATTTGACTATGCATGCCAAACTACTTTCTTGCTGACAGCTGTAAATTTAATTTTCTAACTACTGGCATCAGAAACAGCACTCCCCTATTCCCTCCCCTCACCTCTCCTCTGATCTGATCTGCTAATCCTGCACTAGAAAGTATTAGAAAATGTTTCAGAAGCTTATTTAAAAATAAAAATCTCAGACTGAAGTCATACTGCTTCATACTATTACTAACATGGAATGCTACACACACACTCAACTTGCATTCAGAAACCCCCTTTTCATTTCCTTTTAAATACTGTGGAACTTTGATGCCTGTAGATCATGAGTATCCGCTTTAGCATGGGCAGAAGAACTCGTTAATCAAAATTAAGTTACCATTGTATTTCATACTCCTTTATATAGCTTAAGGACAAAGGAAGAGAGAAAGATGTGTGTTTCCCCCTTGCTTCTTCTCCACAACCCCCTTTTTAATTTCTAATCTTTTTTTCCAAAATCCAGAGGACCAGCTGATGAAAAATCTCTACCACAGTTCCTAGGAAACCTGTCTAAAAATTGATTCTCATGAGATAATAGTTCCATTCTGGGACACTTGCCTCTCAACTAAGCCTTTTCCTGACATAATACACAGACTCACTTGCTGCAGTGCAGAATGTCAGTTTACTCAGTTAGAACTTTCAATGCAGAAATTCAGCATGATGCAGTCACCCAGAGAAAGCAGCACTTACCTTAATTGAAATCTTTTCTCCGATAGAGCTGAGGCATCAGTCAAATCAGCACTGATTTAGGGACAATCTAAGTTTTCAATCAACACCCTCCAGGTAGCTGCATGCTGTGATGTTCTGTTGATGTTGAACTCTTCACTGGCTATAGGAGAAAGAGAGAGAGAAGCTGAAATCCTCAGAGATTCCCAGTGAGTGAGAGAAGGAGTACCAAAGCAACGTTTCTTAACAAGAAATTCTCAGCAAACGTGCTCAGGTCTGGATGCTCATGTAACTGCTGTGATAGGCTCCTGTCATGTCCCCTGAGCCGTGGGATGATCATTGACCTGATTAGCACTGAACACTCCCTACATGCAGAAAAAGCACTGTGAGGATTGGTGGGTGGCAAGGGAATTGGGAAAGGCACCAGGGCCCCTTGGGAATCTTGTTTCTTCCAGGCTAATGGATGTGCTGCAGCTGAGACTGTAATTTGGGAGGAGGTTATGCACAATGTTAACCATCTAAGGATTGAAACAAATGTGCTTTTACAGGCTGTTTCTCAAGGTGCACCAGCCTACCATGTAGGGTACAGGCAAGTAATTAGAGACTGATGTAGATGTTTCCTAATATGAATCTGCCTGTATGCAATGTTCAGTCAGCAGAGAAAGTAAATTCACACACTTGCCTATGACCCCAGAGACAAGCATTCAGTTAGAGCCTAGCATAAGTGAAATTAGTTTGGTGGGCTTATGTTAAGTGTTAATCCCCCAGATGGCAATCAATTGCCTATGCAAAAAAAAATTTAAAAATATAAAAAAAAAAGGAAGGAAAAACTAGCAGACTAACTATATTGAATAAACATGTTTGACGATTTCAATAAACACAGAAGAAGAATACTGAATTATTCTCTCTTTAAAATCAGGATCCTGCAAAGTGCAGAGAAAAATCCAAAGCAAAGCTTAGAAATGCATATTCTTTTTTCTCAAAATAGTATAAAAATCAAATCGAATAAAGCAAATATTCCAAAGGCATGGCATGTTCTCACTTACACTGATGTTAATAAGAAAGAAGTCTATTAACATGTGCCAAGTCAAACAGATGAAAATAAATCAGCATGGGAGAAGAATCAGGCCACTGCCCATTGTCTTATTAAACATATCCCTTGGTTTACTTGATTAAGCAAACTAACAGAAGGTGCAGAAATTGAGACACCAGTAGCTTGTCACAAAAATAGATCCATACACTTTGGTGACCACAGTCACCTATGAAAGTGCTTGCTTTAGTAATGGTTTTTGTAGCACAAACATAATTTCCTTCTTGGATTAGCTTTGGAAGCACTAGCTCAGGATAGGGATTAATTCAAAGGTCTTCATAGGCAACTGTTGTCTTTTGGCAGGAAACAAAATGAAAACCCCTCTATGGACAGTATTTACTTTGTCTGTGTTAGCACCCCAATCTTCTGCACCTCTTTCCATTAAAATAAGTAAGCATTTTAGTAACAGGAATATTCACAGAATTGTAATTTAAGCACTAAATCTCATAGTAATAGGAGAAATGGATTGTATATATTTTTGCAAGCATTCCCACTAGTACCTTAATTACAAGTTATCTTCAACAAATCATTAAAAAAACCCCACCATGTGACTTAACACAACTACTCACAATTCAGCAGCACAGTTTGAAGCTTCGGTTTTGTTTAGAATTTTTAAAAAAGCTAAAAAAATGTGTCATGTAATTTGACTAATGATTACATTTGAGAAACTCATTATTTCAGAAATCAACATAAGGAATAAAATTCTTTATAGGTCATATTCTGCCACTCTTGAATCCTATGGTGATGTAATGTATCTTATCCACAAGCAGTTCAACTAAATTAAGGAAGATGACTCAAATAACGTATTACTCACCAGAACAGAAAAGGACCCTGAAATAATTATTAAACCCACAACTGGTTACTAAGACTAACACCCCTCCTAGACGATCACCAGTTTTGAAGTAAATAGACTGAATCATTGTCAAATTATGGTAATTTAGATGTTTTTTAAAAGATAGGAAATAGTTAACATTGCCTCTTTTACAATCCTTCTCTCTCTGTAAAACTGTGTGTGAGTATGTGAAAAAAAGAGAAAGCTGGATTTCTTTCTTTTTTAATAAAGGAAGAGACAACATGATAAAAGCAGTATTTCTACTGGGGGGCATGTGCAGAAACTAAACATGAAATAAACTTTCAATGATTTTCAAAAACAGGGGTGGTCAAACAATGGCAAATGACACTACTGACCCAGGCAGACTCTATGCATGCCACCAGGCAGATCAGAGATGGGACAGGTAGCACAATGGCACACAGGACAGAAAACAAAAAATATAGAAAAAGATCAGGCAGGGACCATAGGGCATGGAGTACAAAGCAGATAGGACCAGGGAAGGGGATTGCAGTGGCACTTAGAAAGGTGTAGGCTAATTTGTGATGTGCCTGCCAAAAAGGTTGGGCCCCAGTGTTCTAAAACATGTGATTTGGCAGTATATTTTTACATTAGTATAATGTTATTTACCAACATTGCCAAATTCTGAACTTTAGTTTCAAGGTATGATTGACCAATAGACCCAATGACCTCTGAGTACTCAAAAATACTCTGAAAAAATGTGCATTAAATAGGAAACATGTCCTATTTCAAGCTGTAAAAAGAAAACACAGTAAATTCTCCTGTACTACAAATTCCATGTGACCTGAGAAAAGCTATGTCGTCTCTGAGCCTTTGTTTTCCCATGTGTAAAATAGGAATAATAGTAATTACATTATCTGTCTCTTCTATTTAGTTGGTAAGCTCTTTGAGACAGGATCTGTCTTTACCATTTCTTTATATGGTGCCTGACATAGACTTGCTTAGGGTGCCTTGGTGCCTAATAATCAGGGATCCAGGTTTTCCACTTGCTACAGAAAAATGAGGAGCAATGCAGATTTTTTCCTTTAAACAAGAAAAATGTGGATTTCTCCTTTGAAGGAGAAAAACCCAGGAAACTACAGGTTTCCCCTTGCAGGCTGGCAGAGTTCCAGCCTGCAAGGAGCTTCTTGGGACTGGCGGGAGAAGGATGCAGGGGGCAGGGGGTGCCATGTGCATGCACACACATGCATGTGGCAGCCAGTCATAGTGATGGAGAGCAGCTCCCACAGCTCCCTTCAGGTAAATCTGTGGGGAGGGGCACAGGTAATATGTGAGGGCCAGGGAGCACAGGCGGAGAGGGGGGCAAATGCCACCCCAGATTTATGAGTCCACAGCAGGGCATGGGGCTTCAGCCTCACTAGACCAGCTCTGGGTAGGAGCTGCCTTCATAGCCAAGCAGGTGGGACCTGGTGTGGGAGGGAGCACCACACCACCAAGGCGAGGTGAAACAGCAGTGCAGAGTTGTGCCCCCTGCTGCTGCCAGGTGGTCAGGGGGCATTCACCTTGGTGGCCATGGTGGCACTGTGCTTGCTCTTGTACTGGGTCCTGACAACTGGGCCAGAGGCAGTTCCTGCCTAGAGCTGGTCCAGGCCAGCTGCAGCCCCGCACCCCATTGTAGGCGCATAAATCTGGGGGGGGCACCTGCCCCCTCTTCCCCCCAAAAACATTTCCTGTGCCTACCTGCCCCCAGATGTGTCATCTGTGCCCATACCCCTGCTTCTTATGCATCCACTTTGTTCCCCACACACCCACCCCCTTCCTCACACACTGGGGGCAGGGAGCAGTGGGTGAGGAGCGAAGGGAACCAAAAGGGCTGGGGGGCTGTGATTCAGGAGTGAGGGGAACTAGCAGGGCCAGGGGGCTGTGGGTTGGGAGTGAGGGACACCAGCAGGGGTGGGAGGCTGTGGCTTGGGAGTAAGATGCAATGGCAGGGGCAGAGGCAGGGCACTAGTATATTAGGGGTTTTCAGCACCATAAAGTGGCAGTGGGGACAGCTGTATCTGGACCTACATCCTTGTAAGCCAAGGGGGCAGGAGGAACTCTGGTTTTCCATGATAAACAAAACAAAATCAAATGCCAAAATAGGTATTTAGAATTTATTTTATTATAATGATTATTAAGGAAGTCACATGCAGGCTTCCTTAACATTGTAAATATATCAATAAAACATTGTGTTCATCTGATATCTATCTAACTATCTATCTATCTAGTGGCATTTCATTATAATCTTGGAAAAATGCAGATTTTGGGTTTTTAAATCAGAGAAAATGGGAAAATGAGAAAATTTTTTTTTTTTTTTATCAGAGAAGTTAGGATTTTTAAATAGAGAAAAACAGGATCCCTGATAATAATTATAAATAAAACCAAAAAGGCCGGCATATAAATATATTAAAATCAAACATAAATAACAAATTCTTATTGGCATTTTCCTTGGCTGGATTTGTGATGCTCTTTTCCATGTCAAGAGTGAGGTAATTCTACTGTTGCAAGACTTTCATTGGAGAAGGGATTTCTTCTTGTCCCCTTAAATCTGTGTCATTCAATAGACAGCAGATCATTCCAACATTTTTGATCTCATTGGCTCTGACAGGGCATGCCTTATGGAACGGTTAATCCCCCACAAAGACACATCCTATATTATTTAAGACTTCAAGTAGAATCACAGAAATTAGAGATGAAAAAGACCTTTAAGGTTATCAAACTCATCTCATTGTCACTGCAGGATCACCCCCTATAGCAGATTTACTGTCTTTCATTCAGTCTGGTCCTAAATCTCCTCTGCAATTGAATTTTTAACACTTTTCTTGGGAAAGTATGCCACAGTTTAATAGCAAGTCTTTCCTGTTATTGGCCTTTTCTTTCTTTCATGCCAAGAGCTTAGTACACCCCATATATTGCACTAAATATCTTCTACCCTCTGGATCTATATGTAGACCAGGTGTACACGGGTTTGTACTTCCCTCTCCAATTGAGGGAATTATTGGCAGGGCAATGTGCTGTGGAGGGACACAACAGCCCATGAGCCGCCTCCATCCCCTATAGAGTCAGGTCCAGTCAATCAATTACTTAACTATATACAGATTTATTATTACAACAAAACCGTTAAAAGGTAAGGACATGGATTATATATATGTATGTACAAATTTACAAAACAATAAACCCTATAACACACACACACACACACACACACACACACACACACACACAGAGTTATCTTTTAAAATACGGATGAACAATAGAACAAACCAGACCAAAGGATATTGATTGAACAACCTTATAATTCTATTCATATACAGAATATTACTTCAAATTATTCACATAAACTGTAAGGCACAGTCCACAAATATAATCAGTAGTCCTTAGACTACCTGGGTGTCCTCCAGG